AGCTCTGGCTCTGGGTCGGGATCTGGGGGTGGCTTTGGCAGTGGTGGGTTGGTATCCCCTGGTGCTGGATCTTTCAGTGGAGGATCATGTATTTCTCCTGTTGGTCACAGCTCTGGTTGTTTGGGTTCAAGCTGTATTGGTGAAGGTTATGGCTATGCTGGTTCTTGCTCTGGGGATATCTGTACTTCTGGCACTGAGGGGTATGGCGTTGAGAGCGGGCGTTTTTCTGGTGGCGATGTATCTTTCCAGGCTGGTGGTGAGTGTGGCGGATTTGAATATTATGGTTCTAGGGTTGAAACTCAAGAATGCAGCTCTGAGGTTGAGCCATCTTGTCCTACATGTGCATACTCGTCTGGCTCTGTTTTTGGCTCAGAGACTTCTGATTTTTCTGGTGATCCTTACCACAAGTAATTTTTTCTGCTGGAATGGGAGAAAGGCTTTCCCCTTGCTTTCAATGCAAGTATGGCTTTTCTGTCCATCACTGGGTCACCTGTGACACTGACCATTTTTCTCCACATACAGCCATGTGCTGAATTCTCCAATCTGCCGCACCTCTCTCTTGTGACTGTGTTTTGATGATTTGTCTTGTTTCCTTAGTCTTTTTCTGTAATGGCCTGAGCACTTCAGCTCATTCTGTCTGGTGTTTTTTCTTTGCCAACTAAAAGCTTGACACCCTGTCCTGTGTCTGTGTGTCTATTTGTGAGTGCAGCTCTGACATCTACGAGACTTTCAAACCAACTGAATGAAATACAAAAAACGTTTTATGCAGACCTGATCCAAAGTCAGGGCAAATTTATTAGAAACAGGATAACTTTTGGTTGGTGGTGTGTAAGTGGACCATCTGCTGTGAAGAAGGGTTTCAGGGTACACGTTCCATTGGCCTAATCCACAACCAGGACACATGGATCCATCTCAGTTCATGGAAGCTCTCTATGAGGTTGGGTTTGGAAGGCATCTCTGGGCCCATCTAGTCCAACCCCTCTTCTCAAACAGGGCCACTCAGGTCACGGACCATGGGCCCAAGACAATATCCATGGTTTTTGGTTATTTTTGAGCAACCTTTTCCAGTCTTCGTACTTACAATTAAATATTTCCTACTATTCAGCTGGAAGCTCTTGTCTTGCAGTTTATGCTCATTTCCTCTTCTCCTGGCAATGGGCACCACTGCAAGGAGACCTGGCTCTGTCTTATTTGCATCTTCTGATGATAGAGAGAGCAGCTGAGGTTACCAGGAAGGTTTGTTCAAAAAGCTCAATGCAACGGTGTCATCTTAATTTAGCAACACTTAGATAACTGGAGTATCATAACCCACACCAGGAATATCTCTTGTCTATTCCCATTCAGAGAGAAAGTAGGAACCTCTAAACTGTTTTCCCAGGAAATCAGATTGTGAATAGCAGTGGGAAGGGCATCCAGTGGCAGCTCTTTTCTGGGGTGTGAGGTGTTCCCTAGGCAGGAAATCCACTGTGGAGATCCATCTACAAATGTCCATCAAATCATGAAAGCTAGTAGAGAAGATTCACAGACACAAAAGGCTAAATTGAACCTTAATGATGTGGTCTGGAAGCAGCTTGAAATGCCCTTCAAACAGGGAGGGCTAGGAAAATTTCAGGCAAAACTGAGTTATCACTGCTCTCACCCAACGCAGAAAGCCCCACACGTGTGGAAACTGCCAGCTGTTGCGGGGCTGTGCTGGAGGTTGTATTATCAAACCCTGATAAGATAAACTCAAGTTTTCATCCACACTGGCTCACACCCCACAGGTTCAGTGTGTGGGTGGTGTGAGTGCACCTCAGCTTGCACAATGCCCTGCAGAGCTGTGCTCGGATAGCTGGGACACTTTGCTCGCCTTGTTAATGGCTGCTGCAATGCCAGGCACTGAAACAGCTCAATTCTTCAGGACCCAAGGGGCAAGTTGCATCATTTTTACCTAACAGAGGAGATAAGACAATGCTCCTCTCCCACAGCAAAAACTGAAGGCCCCTTCTATTTTAAGTGCACCTTACAAAGTGTTGCTGGGCTTTTGTTTCACGCTTAAATTATGTAGAGAGGATGCCTGGAGCTTTTCATCTCTAATCCGTGCCATCAGAAGAAATAAAGAATTAATATGAACACTGTGGTCAAGTCTGTGGGTTTCTTTTTATCTGATGCATTTTGTAGAGTGAAAGGGAGAAAAGGAAGAAGGTAGAGTAGACAGAGAGAAACAAGCATTTCTGGAGGCAGTTCAAAAGGTCTAATTTGTGCATCCACCTTAGTGCAGGATGAATCACTGCTGGAGATCAGACAAACCATCTGCTTCAGTTGACTTTGCAGGAGCCTGGGAGACCAATGTGGAAGAGAGATTGCTAACCCTGACCTTATACGAGGGCTGGATCAGCATTTCCACCACGTTGCTTTAAGTACTGTTTACACACTGGTAGTACATAGCCTTGAGTGCTGGGCTAATTTTGTGAACGAATGGTTTGGAAAGGTACATCAAAACCTGTTCTGCTTGTCAGCTGAGCTATAATGATATCTCCAGTTTCTGGAGATGAGTGTTTTGGCAACTCTTTCTACACCAAATTACCTGTGTGTAAAGGAGTAAAAAATCTGACCTAGAATTTAACATATCTAATAATATAATATTAAAAAAAAAAAAATTGCAGAGAGTAGAGACCAGTGCCTACCTCTGCCCTCCTTCAGAGGGGGCTGTAGGGTCATGAGAAGCTGTAGGGGCATGAGGGATTGTTGGGCCATAAGGGGTTGTAGGGCCATGAGGATCTGTAGGACTATGAGAATCTGCAGGCCATGAGGAGCTGTAGGAGCATGAGGGGCTGTAGGGCCATAAAGGGTTATAGGGCCATTTCTGCTCTCAGATGCCACCAGATGGCTAAGGTTGCACCCAGAGACATTTTGAATTTTGAAGGCTGAGTCAAAATCATGAGAACAAGGGCAGAAATTGAGACCTTCGGATCAACATGTTTAAGACTTGAGGTGGGTAGAAGCAGTCAGCTGTGAACGTGGCTGGCATGTAACACTGCAGGGAGGACACATGAACAGCCTGGGCTTCAGCACGGTGTGAGCATCCAGAAACTCTGACAGCAGGAGCAAAACTTCAGGTAGGAGGGGAGGACACCGAGATGGCAAAGATGACAGTAGGTCAGTGGTGGTAACTCTGCATTTAGAAAACATCCCAGGCTCACAGCCAACATCAGGGTACAAATCCATAAGGAATTTCACCTTCTTGCAAGACTGAGGACCTTGTCCCCACGCCGTCCTTCCTCCCAAACATTGCCCTCTGCAGGAGGGAGCCAGCCCTTGCTAGCTGTATCCTTGCAGAGTGTTGGAGGAGTTGTGAACAGGATCATGTCACCACCAAGAACTTAACCAGGAACCTTTCTGGGCAGGGCTGCTGAAGATGCAATAGATGCCACCACCTAGTGGGAGAAAGAAGTTGTGCTACAGAGCTGGTTATGGAGCTCTCTCCCAACCTGACTGATGGAGTTTGAAGCTTGTGCCCAGTTTGCCAGAACAAAAAGTTCCCTCCTGATTTACTTTGTCAGAAAGCCGTGAAATTAGTCACGGCAACATCAGAATTGTGGGGCTTCTATATTTACTGCTGGGCCTCTTTCCAAAATTCCTGGTGATTAGAAGAAAATTAGCGAGCTGTGATCACCTTAATAGCCATTCCCCTTTCTGCTAGGTGCTTGCAAACACGTACAACTCCTATCACCTGCAAGAGAGCTGCAGTAGCTGGGATTGCTGTGACAGTGACATGGAGTCCCATCAGCAGGATGCAAGAGGAGAAGAGTTGTTGAATGCTAAACCTAGGTCATCTCTCTGAGCCAATGCCACACACAAATTCTAGCTCCTGCAGCAAGTTGGGTGGGACGAGGTGAAGTTGGGAGAGGAGGGCAGAGCTGACTGTACGTCCCATTAAAGCACTGCTGAGCAGCAGGAAACAACCAAAAGGCTCATGTGGCACTGCTGCCTTCTGGGGACTCAAAGTCATGGGGGGACATCAGGACTTGGAGTCAGAGGTGAGGCTGCTCCAGACAGATGAACCTTTTGCTGTGTCTAGGGGAGCAAAAACCAGAGTTCAGGAGTTTTACTCATCAAAGTGTGTCTAGGGAGAGAAAACTATTGAAAGCAGGAGCTGTAACCCTGTGGGCTCTGCACCAACAAGGGAATAAAAGCTTGGAGCTAACCCTGAGATGTGCAAACACTCATTGCCAGGCGGAGCACCGTGAGATCTCTGCTCCTAAGGTGCAGCAGAGTCACCAAGCATCACAACAGCCCATCTCCGGGCCACAGGATGCAGCAAGGAGTTCTGTGGGAGACCAAGGAGAGACAGCCTGGAAGCACAAGATGAGCATGGAGTTGGAGCAGCTCCAGGCCAAGTCCTCCTCCTGGGCTCTGATCCTGCTCTTCCAGCTGGGACTGCCATGGACTCTGCCAGTGTTTAAGCAGGCAAGTGAGACACCCAGGGCTTCAATCATTCCTGCTCTTCTGTGCGTAGGTGTAATTGATAGTGCTGTCAAGAACCTGCAATTAAGCTGGTTGTCTTTCCAGCTACTGCATACCATCAATTATCTCTCTTGCTGGGCTAAGGGCAAACTGTTCCAGTGAAGAACATTTGCAAGTAATGAGGTACAAGAAAACCTTTGACATCAGCCGCTCCTCAGACAGAATACCAGCAAGGTTTCTGGTAACCAGTTTTGCTTTTCGTCAGTCTTCTTGTGAAAGGTGGCAAGAAAGCCTTCCAATGAAACCAGGAAATGAACAACAACAACAAAAAATCTCCTTGCTAAGGCCAGGAAAGAAATAAACAAATGAAATCCTTCCTTCCTTCCTTCCTTCCTTCCTTCCTTCCTTCCTTCCTTCCTTCCTTCCTTCCTTCCTTCCTTCCTTCCTCTCCTCTCCTCTCCTCTCCTCTCCTCTCCTCTCCTCTCCTCTCCTGTTTTATCTTCCACGTCAGTTGCAGACCCATGCATATAGAGACATTCTCCTCTCCTCTCC